ATTGCCTCCCCTGGGCTAAGTGGGCCTGTGGCACTGCTGATAACCTTCTCCACCAGCAGCTCCATCGCCTGGAAGAAGAAACACAGTCAAATGGAAGAAGACATCACATGTCACGTGTATACTGTCGTACTGCCTGTCCATTAAACACCAGCTTAGGACATATGAAACTATCGCCTCCCACACAGTCCAAGCGAGTCTGACCGAGTTATGAATGCTCAGCATGCTTTTCATAATGTTCCTTCGTAGATCGACCAAGCAGACAAACAACAAGACAAATGAAAGAGAAAACCTCATCAATAAGCAAAACCAGGATAAATGAAGCCACTTACCCAGCAGGGGATCTTCCCCCAGGTGGGAACCCGCTGACATAGATCTCTCAACACCCGAATGATGATAACACAGGACTGCAGACCGTTGGCACGAGCCTCCAGAAACAAAGCAGACAAAAAAGCCTATGCAGTCATGTTCAAAAGGATGTCTGAAGATATAATAAAAATATCAGCTTCTAAATTATTTAAATGCAACAACAACGCGACATATTGCACAGTCATCACTTATTTAACAAAACTCAGACTCAGTAGATTGTAGAAACATATTTAGCTTCAATAAATAGAAGTGGTGGCTTTCTGTATGACTTTGTAAGTCTGTTGCGTGGGAATTTTTGGTGCAACGTATCTCGATGTTCGCCGGTCTGCAACGCTGCAAAGCTAAGCCGTGCCGCTCGTGTTCTCTCTGCAGAGAAGAAATGTTCTCGAAACAAGCCGTACTAGACTTTTTCTAACTGTTAACATCTCACATGCTGAGTGAGGCCTGCAGAGTCTGAGGTGTGGCTTATGGGTTTTCTGAGCATTGTACGTCTGAATGTTTCCATTACAGTTCAGTTATATCGGTATAGCTCTGAATCACAACAGCCTCTTGCAGCTGTTTGTAAAGAATCACCTTCCCTTCTTATACTGGACCAAGTGTACCTGTTTATCCGTCGCAGACACTGAGCGTGCTCAGACGCTGCACCCTGCATTTCTTTCTTTCTGCAACTACAGCTGCTGTGATAAAGGAAGCATGGCACTTTTGCCCAAAGACACAGTCTGTCAAAGCAAGAAAATGTCTCATCATGGTAAAGTTATCTGGTTAAACAGAATTACTCCTGTGATGAAACAGAAACTAGAACACTTATCACTGCAGAGGATCAACACAGAACGATGTGAAGCACCTGAGAAGTAACGAAACAGCAGCACAAACCACAGAGAGAGCAGCCAGTGGGCTGGCAGCATCTTCCTCTTACCAGAAACCACCGGTGAAACGAAATCTCACGATCTTTATCAACATAGCTCAGAGATAACGACATGTCATGGGAAAAGCCCGGGTGGGCCGTGGCAGCCTCGCGATTCAATCCCGGCTCACAGCTCCGCTCATGACCTCAGCAGCTTACAAACAGCGTGGGGCAACGTCTCACACACCTTGACCACCGCAACCGGAAATGACCCAGATTTTGTTTCATGCACCGGCTCATCATGTGACGACTCGCACGATTAACTGTGGACGACTCTCAGAGGGGACCGCTCGGGAGCCGCTCGGATGACACGTGAAAATCTCTTTGCGAATCAAAAAATAAGTCCAACTGTCTTAATTTCAAACACTCACCGCGGCCATAATCACTAAAAGCTGCTTTAAGTGTCTTTCATTTAACTGCAGCTTATCAGAACAGTTAAAGGGAAGCGTACACACACATACCTGAAACCATTTGGCATGGCGCAGAGCAGCTAGGTATTCCAGACATTTCTTCTTATTCAGGAGATCAGGAGGATCCTTCTCAGCCACATCTGTAGGAGATAACGTACTGACTTCATGACTTACAGCCAAACCAGCGCAAAGCCCACATACTGACTGCACTACCTAAGTGTAGGTGTTGTATCTCTTGACGTACAGTCACTGATCAGAGATGTAAGAGTGAGAGTACCTCACGTTTCCATCAGTCCTTAAATTCTCTGGTTTGAAGTTGATGGATGAGAAAATGAACGAGGGGGAATGATGAATGAGGAGGGAGGCATCGGATAAGAATACAGGCACGTGTGAACCAGGAGGAAATCCAAAGGATGTTTTTTTACACGGTGACTAATTCCCGCTCAGTTTAATGCTGACTTGTGTACGTTCACAGTCTGAGTGCTGCTGTCTTTGGTGAAACTCTGGTGGACTTCGAGGCACGGAGAATTAAAAAAACTGCATGCTGTAAAGCCCACCGAAGCTGGTTTTCCTCCCCCTGCACATACACTCATGCCACTTTATTAGGTATACCTCAGCAGTACTGCGCTGGACCCCTTTTGCTCAGCCTCAACTCTTCATAGCATAGATTGACTAACATGCTGGAAACATTGCTACAGTTGCTGCAGATTATCAGGTGCACATTTACAAGGCGACTCCCTTTGCACCACATCCTCAAGGTGCCCTACTTCTACTGCAATCTGATGGTTAAGGAGGTTATTTGAGTACCATGCACGCGCTGTCATGTTCTGCTGAAAGCAGCAATCAAAGCGCGCCCACAAAATACCCCCCACCCCATTACACCACCAGCCTAATGGGGTGGGGGCGTAATGTGCACTCAGAGATGCTCTTCTGCACACCATGTTTTGGTTTTCTTTTGTTTTTTTTTTAAATTTACCGTTGGCTTCCTGTTAGCTCGAGGCAGTCTGGCCATTTCTCTGAGAACCCAGAGAACTGCTGAATCCCAGCAGATCAACCAGTAAAACCATTCCCTGTTCAAAAGTCACTTAAGTCACCCGTCTTCGCCGTTCTTGAGTTTCTAATATGATTGGCTAATTAGATATTTGTATTGTTGAGCAGCAGAAAAGGTGTACCTAATGAAGTGGCCAGTCAGTGTAATTCTGTCTCGCTACAATTACAAGAAAAAGAAAATATTTAAACACAAATCTGTGTCTTTCTTCGAGTCCTGATCAGACAGCGGTCTTATTACTCAGTAATATTAATAAGTATTAATAATCTTCCAAACTGAGGAAGTGAGAGAAACTGGCACAAAGTGAAAAACAGCAAAATCCAGTCAAAGTGCAGCACACTCCCACCAGTGATCACCAGACTTTTATAGGTTTTCCATGATGGACTCGGAGCTGTGACTGCTGGATTTCCCCTGTTTGCCTTTGACGTTGGATGACTAACAAAAAGTTACTAAAAAAAGTGTCTGATTATATCTTTTTGAACTTTTTAACTCAAACTTTAGTTTGGAAAGTTTATCATTCTGTAACAAATGTCTCAACTTTGGTTCCGCACTGCTTGGTTTCCTTTAATCTGTCCTAATTGTCTTTATAGCTAATTAATCAAGCAGCCATAGGGACAAAAGTAAGGACTGTCACTTCACTTCATATTTTAGGACAATATCAACGTCAATAAGCAAACAACAACAACAAAAACAAGAAGATGAACTTAATTAGTCGTGGAGTGACGGAGCCTGTGTCTGTGGTGGATTTAGATCATGAAGAAAGAAAAAGGACAAAAAAGGTGGAGAAATTTGGAGGACATTTTTAAGACTAGCCATCTAAAAATGACACATGGTGGTCTTCTCCAGAGCACTCCAGATGAGGTTACTGATGACTGTAATGAAGTAATATTGGGGCTTTCCACACTTCCATGTTCACTAGAACTGTAGCAACAACAAAGGAGATTAGCTTTCTCACAGGGCAAATGCAGAACATAAACAAAGCAACTTTTATTTTGAAGTCTACACTCGCATACCACCTCGAAAGACCCACATTTATCACAGCTCTCAGAGTGGGAGCTCAGTGTCAGTGAACAGCGCAATCCTCCTCTGAGAAGCTTCATAAAAGTGGGTGAACTTCTCAGTGGTATGTGCACTCCAGTGTGGCTTCAGACGAGCCTTCGGCTTGCCCAGGTCTGCTGATACAGAATCGGATGCACTGATCAACAAACCCAAACAAAACTTTTGGAAAAAAACAAAAGACAGCGGCCACAGAAAACATCTCTAACATGTTTTCCAAATGTGAAAAAACACATTGCAATGCTGACATTTACTGGAGCGGGTGGAGGAGTGTTTGCAACACAATGATCTTAGACAACTTTGTTGTTTTGTGGGGGGAAATAAATGCAACGCTTCGCTAATGTCAGCTTAAAATTCCTCGATCATTGTGAGGCGGCAAAAGGACACTCCAGCACCGTATCATGGATAATGCCGCACGATGATGCAAGGATGAGACGCGAGGGAACGGGAAGTCGCTGGACCTCAAAATCCCCTCAGTGGTATCGTCGCAAAGACGGCGAGAGAAGCAGAACTGCATCGGTGTGCATACACGAGGCTTTTATTTGAACCGTTTTCATCCTTGGGCATTATCTGGACAGCTCCCTGAAGGTTTGATCTGAGCATGTGTTCACAGGATAAACACACGGCTCAGTGGCACAGAAAGGTCGGAGAGCCCGGCTTTTGGTTCCCATGTTGTGGAAAAGAAATAAAGAAGTTGGGGACTATTGCAGCTGCAAAAATAAAGAATAAAAAAATGGGGAAATGAAAGGCGTGGGACAAATGAATGCGTGATTTAATTCTTATTTCAGGGGCTGAGAAAAGACAGAAAAAAGGAGAAATCTCGACTGTGGGCTTCGTTAAAAGTCCCACGTGGATTCTTGTGTAATTTTTAAGCCTAAAAATTCAGGCTGCTATTGGGTGGAAAGGGAGGGGGCGGGGTCTCTATATATAAGTGTATTACACACATAGCCAACATTTGGTTGTCTGGTACTGAAAGCTTTGGCTTCTCTAACCTTTCTCAGCCGCTTTTCCTCCTGCCTGCTTGTCCTTCTCAGCAGCAGGGTCCTCCCTCATCAGCGGCGAGGTGAGAGATATGGTCACCTGCATTTTGGGCTCCTTGCTTGAAAATATCACGATGTTCGCCTCCTCGGGGTGAGCCTGCACCTCATACTGATCTTCAGAAAAAGTCTGCCGGTTAAAAGGACACTCGGGATTACTCACTACAGAGGAGAAGTGGCGTCGGGACAATGAATAGCCTTGTTTGGCAGTAATACAGGGACGGACTGAGATATTTTTAACTCGACTTCTTTCTTTTTTTTTTGTCCCCTTCAAGACAATTTAGTTCCCTTATTTAAAAAGCTCAAAAGCTGTTCATCGACAGTAACTTTGTAGCCATAATACTTATTAAAAGAAAGGGGCTGCTAAGGAAGAAAAGTCCCATCTCACTCTGTAGGGTTCAGGTGTCATAACCAGGCAGTAAGTCTAAAGATCAGTGAAAAGCACCTTCGGTCAAACACTCGTGGCAGCTACAGCAGGAGGAAGAAATGGTGAATAATTACAACACAACCTCGTTTCCTCTGTCTTGCGAACGTTAATCTGAAAGCAGCAACAATTTAAAAATGCACATCGGTCTTCCCGCTCGGCCTCTGGCAGCTCGGCCGTGAGCATGACAGGATCTCACCCAAAGCCACAAATCACACAGTATCCCCACAAAGTCGTGTCTCTGAAACAATAACGAATTCAATTCATTCGTAGCTTCACTGTTTAATGCGTTTTTAATTTCGTACAGTCACGTTAAAAATAAAAGCACACTTTCTTTAGCTTCACAGCTTCACTTATCAGGACGTAATCTGCTCATTAGGTCTTAATTTAAACACAATCTCATTATTACATCACATATTACTCAGTGTCAGTATTTATTTAACAAAACATTTATAAAATGCAGAAGCCGTGCGTGGAAATCTTACTCCACCTTCTTGTTTTCACAACAATTAGCCAAGTATGAAGCGTTCGTACGCGTGTCATCACAGTCCTCCCAGGAGCTCGAGTACGTTCATACGTCAACACTCTACAGGTTTGAGTCAGCTTGTTAAAGTTTGTGTCAGTATAATTATAAAAAGACTGAACGAGTGCAGGTTGCCAGGAGACTCTTATCTCTAAAATCGACACAGCAGCAAGACTTAGATTTGCAACGCTGCGTCTGAGGAAACCACATCACTTGGAACGAATTATCTCAGAGGCGTTTGACCACAATGCACAGCACCGTGTTTGATGAAGACCAAACACATCGAGGTATCAGCAAAAGCCCCTCAAACCAGCTGTTAAACGCAGCTGATGATTTGGGCTTGTTTCACAGCCACAGGAAACCATGAGGGCAGATATACGTCCCCACAAAGGTTTCTCAGATCAGCTGTCCTGTCCCTCCTTGCTGTCCCCAAACTGAGAGTGTGGGCTGTTAATATTGTTTACATTTTACTTTACTGTTACTTTTCCTTTTTGTATTTTATTACAGTCTTTTAACTCAGCGGTCCCCAACCCCCGGGCCTCGGACCGTATCGGTCCGTGAGTCGTTTGGTACCGGGCCGCGAGAGTTGAGGCTCAGGTGTGAAATGTATAGTTTTCAGGGTTTTTATCGGTTTTCAGCGTTATTTTGTTATTGTTTTGATCCTTAACTTGGTTTTCCTGGGTCTTTTCACGTGTGTTATGAATAAATCTTCTTTTTTCGGTACCGGTACTAGTTTTATTTTGTTGTATTTATCCGCGACACCTTAAAGGCCGGTCCGTGAAAATATTGTCGGGCATAAACCGGTCCGTGGCGCAAAAAAGGTTGGAGACCGCTGCTTTAACTGGACCGCACCTCGGTCGGCTGTGTTGGATTGGCGCCGTCTGCCTGACAGCCAAAGCTCGCCCAAATATTGGAGTCGTGCAACAGGACAGTGACCCAAAGAGCAGAATGACCGAAAAAGGCGCACAGATGTTAGCCTTAAGAGAGCTTTGCACAAACCTCAATGAGGTGAAGCGATGCTGGAAAGACGAGTGAACCAAAATGCCTCTACAACACAGGTGTCAAACTCCAGGCCTTGGGGGCCGGTGTCCTGCAGGTTTTAGATGTGTTCTTGATCCAACACAGCTGATTCAAATGGCTAAACGACCTCCTGAACATGTCTCGAAGTTCTCCAGAGGCCTGGTAATGAACTAATCATGTGATTCAGGTGTGTTGACCCAGGGTGAGATCTAAAACCTGCAGGACACCGGCCCTCGAGGCCTGGAGTTTGACACCCCTGCTCTACGATGACGTAAAGGACTGACAGTCATACAGAAAGGATTGAATCATAGGGTGTCCTACGTGTTTCCACACTCTGCTTCTGCATTTTAATTTAGTTTTTGTTAAACAGACAAACAGGCAACGCACTACGTCACGCTTTGTTGCTCATCCCTCTACGGAGTATTTTTATTACGTCCTGACAAGTATGGACCGGGTGTACTTTCCTCTTATCACGACTGTACGTGTGGATGACAAACTGTTTTTTTCTGGCTCTGGGGGACACATGCATACAGTCACCTGCTCTGTACCTGATGAACTGCAGTGGGATTTTTCTGGGTTGCTATTCGAGTTGCTAAAACCTCGTTTCCTCTTGTATAACAAACAGTATTACAAGTGAAAACTTCCGGTTTTCTGTCTTTTTCTTGCACAACCGTGAAACCTCAGGGTCCAGGCCTTATGACTGAAGCCATAAGTCAGTGATGACAAACAATAAAATATCTACAGCGCCTGATAACTCGACTGCATATCGAAATATTTCTGTTCTGCTTTTTAATCCCACATACAGTAACTGTCACAATAACTCAGGATCAAAGCCCCACACATCACAGAAAGATGAAACCGTCGCCTAAAGTGTGTCTTCTGTGAGATTTGCTTACCGCCAGCTCCTTTGGCAGCTGCTTGGCGATGCTCTTCAGTAACGAGATGGTGGGTTTCTTTGCAGTCAGCAGGATGAGCTCCACATTTCTGTCTCCGCGAAGCAGCAAGCCTTTGGCCAGGATTCCCACCCTCATCACGCCTTTCAGCAGCCGGGCCGGGCTCTCGGTCCTGTCGGGCAGACACACACAGGCTTGACAGGTTGCTTTGATTTGTTTCTATTCTTCTGCACGTAAAATAAATAAATAAAAATCACATGCTGGGAATTATCTGCCAGGTTTTTACCCTTTTTCATCTCCTCCTTCAGCAGCACCATCATCAGTCAGTGTTTCCTTCTCCAGCAGAGAGTCTGACACCAGTTTCAGCGCTCTCTCCGAGTGGGAGACGATCCTCTGAACAGCCTGCAGCTCCTCTTCCACCGGGTAAATAGTGGAGTGCTTGGCCATGATGTGGCGGTCGTCAAGCGAGTCAGGACGCCGCACACAAGACTGAAGCGAGACGGGAGGAGAAAGTGGAATCACATCTTGTTTTTCTTGTTGTTTTTCCAGGTAACAGATGAACAACAAAGATGCTGTTTCAATGCTCACCAGTAGAGGGGGCACTGGCATCCCGGGGCGGCTCATCAGAGGTGGAGGTGCCATCCTGCGTCTCTGCTCCCCCCAGTACATCTGCTCCTCCTCCACTCTCCTCCAGTACAAGTCCTCCTCGTATCGCCTGCAGGAGGAGGAAAGGATTCGAATGCCATTCGTCAAGAATTATTTTTTCCAGCGGCGAGAGGCGCGCGCGCTGTCTGCCATTAATAATACATCAGACTTATAAAAAGTCCTGCACCAAAATCTAGAGCATCGCCTAAGATTCAGCTGAAGTGAACCTGAGAATGTGAACAGGGAACTTTTTAATCGGGTGAAACGATGAAGTCTGATTTCACTGTAACGTTTCTCTGGGGGTCAGTGACATCAGAAACATAACATCAGTGTAAAAATAAGATGAAAAATTACATTTTTCACGCATTCATGCAAATCTGCCAGTCAGCTCCTCAAATTTGGCACATCCTCTTTGGTTTTACCTGTACGCATGCCCCGCCCCCAGGTCAACGTCTGACTCTGACCTCATCTCCATGTGCCAGCGCTGCTCATCATCTCTCTGCCGCTTCAGCACCGCCTTCTGCTTCTGCTTCTTCAGCTTGCTCTCCTGCAGCTTCCTGGCCCGGTTACTGGGTTTGATCTCCACGGGAAGCTCCGGGTTCACTTTCTTCTACAGAGGGACACAACACATGTGATGAACATCTTCTCTTCTACTCTGTCTCTTCGCAGATTACCCAACAGCGTTTTTCTTTCAAGTTTCCATAACGGACTTAAACCTCCGTTTGGTTCTGGACAGCTGAGATGGAACGACTCCGCTTACAACCAGATTTTATATAAATCCATTTGAAAATGATCCTCATTTGATTTCATACCTCAGCGCTCTCTCTTTAGCACCACCCGATGTCCACTTTGTAAACGACGAGCAGGGTGTGCTACTTTGTGGCTGACAAGATTAGATTACGGTCTTGCTCAGTCGGAATCCATCACATCATATTTGGTGCTCAAAAACATCCATAAAGAAAATTCCCTGGCATATCTCAGCGGTGCTGTTTGGGAATCACCGCTAAACTGTCATTTAAGCGCGTGCTATTACTTCACAACAGACACATGGTTTCAGTGAGGATTGTCAAACTCTGCAAAAGTTCCAGAATATGCAGCTTTGGCTCAGCAATGCTCTTCATTTCTACCTTGTATTGCAGCCGGTGCCTTCTTCCCTTCAGGTGCATGTCTTTCGCGTTGGGGTCATTGAAGCTGCACTCGCACAGTTTGCAGTGGAATCGAATCACTTTTCCATCATCATTACGAACCTGAAAACGAAGAGAACTGGCATGAGTTTGAAACAGTAATGAAACCTTTATAAATGCAGCTCATAATGACGGGAAATGTTGTTCACTAATTCACTAATATTACAGATATCTCTTGGTTAACCAGAATGCTGCTGCGTCCCATGATGACTGGAAACTGCCAGCAGGATAAAGCAGGTAAATATAACCTCACAGCATTTCGCTGCCGTCCGTCACTGGACTCCCATCAAACCCTTCTCCTACCTACCTCTTCTACATAGTCGTGTCCCACTGGCTGGATGTCTCCCTGGCCTCCAGCTCTGTCTCCATCCTCATCCTCGCTCTGCGGGTCCATCTTCTGGACTGACGGCTGCGCATGCTCTTCGACCTTGGCTGCCGCCACCATCACCGGCGCCGCTGATGTCGCTGCAGCTGCAGTGGGAGTGCTGGCTGGCTTATTGGCTGTGAAGCAGGGCAAATGTTAACACTTTCAGGAGGTCGCTGAAGGAATACTCGAGGCTCGTTTATTGGAAGACGCAGCTCTTCTACTTCCAGTTTGATCCCCGAGTTTAACAAGTTTCACAACTACAGGAATTACTAAGAAAGAATATCCAGTAAGCGTTAAATGAAACGGCTATGGAGAGATACACGACTGACTAATAAACACTAAACATCATTCGATGTGAACTAATTTAATGCAACCACAAAGAGAACACAGAATATTCCTTTTCTGTCCTTGCAGGTGACATTTCTCTGCAAACCGTTAAAGAGCTGTTAAATCTTCCTCATCTTATCGTTTTTAATCAAA